AAATGTAAGCTGATACATTGAAACTCTAAAATACCCAGGGATTGAATTTTAAAGTCTAGAAAGCTCAGTGCTGAATTATTATGAAACAAGTTCATGGATATTTAAATGCTGTTAAGTATTGAAATTCATGCAGCAAGAGGCATTCGGTGAAATAACCTGGATCTCTGCAGAGTAATAATGACCAGGATTTTGTTTTTTGCCTAGAAATCAATTGGTTATCAACACACTACTTTAAGCAGGAATATAATATAGCTTCTTTACCTTGTTCTTAAGACAAATCTAACTGCTGACTTTCATACCAACTGGAGTTTTTTGTCTGGACAGAAAAGCAGTCCCATGTAAAAAATACATTAAGTATATAATGAGTACAAGCAAATGCATCACAATGTCATGGTCATTATATTTATTTGTTTGCTTATCTTGCCAGGTGATTAGACTCAAAACAATTTACTTATTGTATTATTTTTCATTATTGCAATTGAAACAAAAATATTTATTACTATCAAAAGATCTTAAACCACAGATAATAAGCAAATTCAACTGCCGCCTCATTGCCTCCCCAGGAATGATGAAAGAATTTAGTCTTTGTTGCCTTTCTAAAAGGTAGGAGAATGAGGTCTCTCCAAACATTAGATGCCAGACTTTCCACAGGACTAGAACAGGGTTGGAAAATGCTTGCTTCTTCTCTTCCATATTTCTAGTTTCCTGAAGATGGGAATGTAGAGCAACTCCTGAGTAGGCCACACTAAATGGGAAAATTCTATTCAGACCAGATGGTACTGGAGGAAATGTGAACTCAGTGTGCTGTTTTATATGTGAAAAATAACATTCGAATTTGACCTGGAAAAAGTACCCAACACAGTGCCAACAAGAGTGAGGTAAACCAACTAAATGGCTCTAACCCATTAACAGTTGGTTACTGTATTCTGTACTGAAGATGACTTGGAATTTTCCAAGTCATCTTCCAAGACAGTCCCAATTTTCCTTAAGAAACCCACATATTTTAGATTTTTATCTTCTGGAGTCAAACTATATTTTTTAGGAAAGGTGGTGGTCTTGCAACTACAGAGATTTCTGGAGATGATGGATTATCTATTGCCATATTAGTTGAGATTCTATGGCTATGGTTGCTCTGCTAGATTATCTCTGGCAAAGCTGAAATGGAGAAGTGTGACTGTCCTGGTTTTGTTGAACTTTTGGCCATGGTATATGGACCTCTTTCAGGGTTGGAAATGTGGGACATTGTTTTACAGTAGTTATTCTTCCTGAATAGCCAACAGCAAACAGTATGTATCTGGAGAAACAAGAAGTGTCTGGGAAGAGGTCACATGCTCAGATTTTCTATTATTAAGGTTGCCCTGCTATTCAACATTTACATGAAGCTGCTGGATTAGGCGGTTAATTGATACAGATTGAGGTAACATCAGTATGCTGAAGATATCAAGGTCCACACCTACACTGAACACTAATAGGCTGGAATAGTTGTGAATCCAAAGGACTTATCAATCTGAATATGTTCCATCTGTACAGTAAGTTATGTGGAGAATCAAGGAGATCATCTTGAGGAAAGGTAGTGTTTGGAAGAGATTCAGGTAGGATCCTCCTGATTCATTTAGATATAAATGGTGCAGAATGCGTGGGTAGTAAATAATACTGGATATATAGCAAATGTAACACCATTACTAAGTGAGCTGCAAAGGCTGTGTTTCTGGGTGCAATTCAAGGTGCTGGTTATCATCTTTAAAACCCTACATGGTTTGAAATTATGTTACCTGAGGAACCATCTTTATCCACCCAATTCAATCCAGAAGATTGGACATGCAGCAGATCAGCCAGAGAGTTAACTGGTGGGAACTAAAAGATGGTCTTTCTCTGCCATAGATCCTACTTTGTGGAATATTCTTCCACTGGAGATTATAATGGTCCCAGCTCTTTAGCCTTTCATAAGACTTTAAAAAATTGTATATGTATGTAGGCCTAGAATGTGTTAGGGGCTCCACTTCTTGGCTTTCCTATTAATTGCTTATAACTCAGCTGTTACATGTATTTATTTTTATAATAATTTATTATTTTTAATTGTTTTATGATTTTAGAATTGTAAGTCACCTAGAGTCATTAGACTGAGATGGGTGGCTATAGAAATTGAATAATGGAATAAATAAGGTAAAAGGGAGAGGAGGTACAGCACAATAAGTCTTGCAAGATTGATGTCAGCCCTTTGGGATAAAGCACATCAGGATATCAAATTCTTATAAGCCTAGAACTATACTTTATTGAGATAATATAGTAACTGAATTTTGCAACTCTGATTGTGTTTCCCCTCCACCTCTTATATTACATTGAATACTTTTTGTTTGTCAGAACTTAAGGAATCTTTTAGCTTGAATAGAATAGAATAGAATAGAATAGAATAGAATAGAATAGAATAGAATAGAATAGAATAGAATAGAATAGAATAGAATAGAATAGAGCTGGAAGGGACCTTGGCGGTCTTCTAGTCCAGCCCCCTGCTCAAGCAGGAGAACCTATACCGTCTCAGATAGGTGAATGTCTAGTCTCTTCTTAAAAATCTCCAGTAATGGAGCACCCACGATTTCTGGAGGTAAGCTGTTCCACTGGTTGATTGTCCTTACTGTCAGAAAGTTTCTCCTTAATTCCAGGTTGCTTCTCTCTTTGATCAGTTTCCAATCATTGTTTCTTGCCCTTCCCTCTGGTGTTTTGGTGAACAACCTGGCCCCCTCTGCCTTGTGGCAGCCTCTCAGATACTGGAACACTGCTATCATGTCTCCCCTATTTCTTCTTTTTTTTAGACCAGCCAAACCCAAGTCCCATAACCATTCTTCGTATATTGTAGTCTCCAGACCTTTGATCATCTTTGTTACTCTTCTCTGATTTTTTTCCAACTCTCAACATCTTTTTTGTGATATGGTGACCAAAGCTGACTGCAGTATTCCAGGTGTGGTCTTACTAGAGTTTTATAAAGCGGTACTAATACTTGGATTCTATGCCTCTGCTTATACAACCCAGGATTGTATTAGTTTTTTTGGTTGCTGCTGCACACTGCTGGCTCATAATCAAGCGATCGTCCACTAGGACTCAAAGTCCCTTTCACAGTTACTGTTTTTAAGCCAGGTCTCGCCCAATATTCTTATTCCCTTCAAGGTCATCCTGGTTTTCTACATGTTAGAGTTGTCTACTCTATGGAGCTGATTCACAATCTTGAGTTTCTCCTGGACTCAAACTTCTTCTTGAATAGTAGGTGGAAGGACAGCCTTCACATAATTATAGCTTATGCAGCACTTTTGTCTTTTCCTGAATTAGGATGCATTGCACATAATCATAAAATAGATAAAAATAGATAAAAACAAATAAAACACATAATACAAACTGAAAACACATGAAAGCTGAACTTCATAAAAATAACTATCAACTATCATGTCAGGAAATGGACTTACCGCTTTTGGAGCACCAGGCCTAGGCACAAATCCCAGGTTCTTAGCACCTTGTGAAAGGCCAGCAGGGTCAGAGCTAACCTAATCTGGGAATGACGTTCCACATATGAGTGCCACTCTTGTTTTTCTTCCTTTAACATTGGAGGTTTGCAACTTCCTTGAAGTCCATTGAAGGAGGTTTACACTTTTACAGATTGTAGCCACCTGTATAGTTATACGTGGCTCTAGATTTACCCAATCTACTCCTAGAGCTGCATTGTTTGCCAATTAATTTTGGAGTGAATTCAGAGTTTGGTTATTATTTTTCAAGCTCTCCATTGTTTGGGACCTCAATGTCCTCAAAAGTATCTTCTCAGACTGTCATCACTAAATCTGCCAATCCAGTAAACAGGGAGAGAAGACATGTTGTAGGTCCCATCTCTGAAGGAATTCTACCCACAGGGACCTTTAATCAAACTTTCTCAGTGGTGGTCTCCTTTTCTGAATCAGCTTGACCCTGCAAAACCAAATCAACTTTTTCTACAAGGCTGTTAGAATATGGCTCTTTGACAGAACAATAGGGGATGATAAGACAGAATCTGTCCTTGGTGGAGGACATTGTTAGAATGGGTAGGTTAAGTTATGATTATAATGTTTAAGTTTATGTATATGATTATAATGTTAAATTATTTTGCTGATGATTATACAGTATATAGCTCAGAGTCTGTAGGAATGGAGTATCACTGAAATAGAAAAATAAATATATATATTTACTTTTTTTAAAAAAAAACATACATATATTAGGTTTATCCTGTTTTTTGTTGTTCAGTTGTGATAATTGCCATGAACAAGATCTATTCTTTAAATATACTTTTTCACTTAACTATAATAGTAAAACAACATCAGTGCATTTCACAGGGCATTTGAGAAATGAGTAAAGTAAAATAAATAAATAGTTTTGAACAATATTTTGTATCAGCGTTTGAGTTTCCAGATTTTAAATTCCATTTTCCCTCAGCCCTATCTAAATGGCAAATGTGAGAGATGAAGGGAATTGCAAGTAATAATATTAAAAATACCACGTTAACCACATTTGTTTTATATAAATGTGTAGAATTCATAAATCAAACTCTACTATTTATGATTTAAAAAGATGATTAGGAGTCCAAGAAGCCAACGTTTTTGCAGAAGAACAAGCTAATCATGACTTGTTTGCATTTTGCTGGTGGTTTATTCTTTTAAAATTGGTATTTGTAGATTTATTGAGGCTTCAGCAGAAAACAATAACAAACCAGAAATAAGATGAGTAAATACAAACTAAGTGAATTATCATTCATTGCATTAAGCCATATATGTAAAAAGATAACATAAATCATTGTTTCAAATAGTGGTTCAGACATTTATATGTGAACCTACTATTATTTAATAAGTTACATAAGCTTGTTCAATGGCCATGTTGTTAAGTTGGAGGTTGTAGACAAACTATGCAAACCTGGAAAGGCAACAGATCCAAAAGGAAGCTTGCAGGTTTGTAATCCGTAATGATAGATTTTGTGATCTTATTCTCAGCCTCCGAACCCAATTTGAAAGTTCGCTCCAAGTTAAAACAAAAAGTAACAGAAAGAAGAAGAAGCCCTTTACTCAGAAGGAAGGATGGAACAGTGGTCTGCTCATTCAAGAAAAGATTATTTGAGATGACAGGTAATGAACTAGAAATATCATTTCTAATTATTATTATAGTTTATTACATAGTCAGCCAAATATCCAGACTGGATTTGGCATTTTTATTCACCTGTTAAGTTCTTCCCAAGGACTTAGGATAGGCAGATGTTGACGTTAAAGATATTATCTCAGAATATAAGTTTTTCCAAATAAAGCTGCCTTTTGCAATTGACTGATGATGATTTTGTCAATCCAGTGGTATTCATGTGGTGCTCCAGTTGTCTTGGGATTTCACTCAAAGGTATTGGTACTACCTTTCTTTTGCCACAGTCATTCTATTTCTATTTGCAGATCTTTGTATTTTGTTATCTTCTCCAGTTCTTTCTCTTCTATTCTGCTTTGTCCAGCTATTGCCATATTCACTATCCAGACTTTTTTTGTCTTTCTTATTGACAGTTGTTAAGTCTGAGTGTTATGTGGCAGGTGCCTGACTATTTGAATTCTAAAGTTCTGAAGCAATTTAGCTTCTTCGTTTTCTTTGACTTTCTCTATTTCATGGTCCTACTAGTTCTTATTATATTATATTATTTCTGCTACTGGTTTCTTTTAATAAGGATCATTATTTGGAAGATACCTTTAAAATTAGAGTAAATCCTAGGAATTGTACACTTTTGAAAAATGATTTAGAAAAGTTATTCACAAGAAATGTTTTATATCTTATGTAAAGATGAACCATGGTACCTTCAGCTATGTTAGATTCCATGCAAAGATTGTGATACTAAAGTCACTTTAATTAATGGTTTATTTTTAAAAATAGCATCTTTATTTTATAATTTGTGAAAAAGATCAGATTCTTTTAATGAATAGCAGAGAGGTACCATGTTTGTGCTTGCACTAGATCTAAAGCAATTCTCAATAATTTCAGTCACAGCCTTAGTAAATAACTAATTTAAAGAAACCAAATGATATTGTGTGTCTTTTGGTTATTAGCATCAAGATTATTTTTGAAGACAGTACTTATGAGCCATCTGTTTATTTACTTTTTATTTAAAAAACGGCATTTTATGTTTGCATGATGAATAGTATATATAATCATACCATTCTACATTGATGTGTGTGTGTGTGTGGTGTGTGTGTGTGGTGTGTGTGTGTGTGGATAGATAGATAGATAGATAGATAGATAGATAGATAGATAGATAGATAGATAGATAGATAGATAGATAGATAGATAGATAGATAGATTCTTTTGATCAGCTCATAAAATATATTTTCTTTGTCTACATTAAAAGTTTTAATAGGCTCTTTAATCTATTTTTCAACAGTGGTATATTGTTTTACCTTACCATGTAATCTTAAAACAGCAGAACTTTTTTATAGTAAAACAAAGTATGATAAAATCATTAAGATACTATATTAAGGTTTTGAAGATTCCAGTTTTTCCCTTAGAATTCACTGACTGAACTGCAAATGAGGTATTGTTTTTTATTAGTTGCTCATATAAAGGCCAGTTCACAACTGAGTCCTCCAGGGGTTTATCCAAACAGCCTAGGAATGGCAGCAGGCCTCATGAATTGATGACATGTTATCTTGACCTTTGGGAGTCCAGTATCTCTATCATGCTGGTCTCTTACAGAGGCAACAGAGAATGCAGCCAAAGGTACTTCCTTTTCCTTTACTCATTAGAAACTTTTTTTTTAGTATTTTGCCTACCACTGAGAAACTTGCCCATCTTGAAAGGAGAAAAATATTGCTCAAGTAATAAATTGTGGGTTTTTATGCAGTGGAAACATTATGAGGTAAAGACAAATTATAACATGAATAAAAGAATACATTGTGTGGGCAACTTATTTTCTGTTGTAGTTGAAACTTTCTGATTACCAATCCTACTTAGATTTATTTCTTTTACCAACATTCTAGAATCATCAGTTGGTAGCAGTTGTCCAGGATCAGGTCCTAGTTCACCATGTAATGGTCCTACAAGAAATACAGAAAATGAAACATCAGTATTGCCATTGAATTCCCAAGCTGAGGTAAGAAAATAATTGTTTTATGTATCTGGTATTTGGATTACTGCACTAATCTTAAAATGACAAAAACTGCAACCAGTACAAAATGCACTGCTTAAGTAGTTATGGGTACCAGGTGATTTATCATGTACAATTCAGGGAAGTGATTGTCACCTTTAAAGTCCTTTGTGGTTTTTCCAGTCCACTCTGCCTATCCTTTTAAATCTGCAAAATAAAGTTCTCTCTGGGCTGCTAGCTGTAGCCAGTGTCATCTTCAGAGATCTCAGGTTTGGATGTTCTCAACTGGCCTCCCACTCCTCTTTGGAACAGCACTCCCTCCAATCTAAGAGTGGCTTCAATTGCACAGGTAGTCCTTGACTTACGACCACAATTAAGCTCAAAATTTCTGTTGTTAAGTGAGACATTTGTTAAATGAATTTTACCCCATTTTATGACCTTTCTTGTCACAGTTTTTAAGTGAATCACCACAGTTGTTAAATTAATAACAAAGTTGTTGAATGAATCTGGCTTCCCCATTGACTTTGCTTCTCAAAAGGTCAAAAAAGGTGATCACATGAACATAGGATATTGCAACTGTCAATAATGTGAACCAGTTGCCAAGGATCTGAATTTTGATAGGGATGCTGCAATGGTCGTAAGTGTGAAAGTGGTCATAAGTCATTTATGGCTGTTGTAACTTTGAACAGTCACTAAATGAAGTTGTAAGTCAAGGACTACCTGGATTTGTAATTACATACATTTGTAATTTTCCATTAAGATCTGATTTTTTTCCAGTGGATCAAACTTTGGATCTGAAGGATTGTTTCTGTCCCTCCTGGGGGAGTGATTGTATATATAGGTCAGTGATGGCGAACCTTTTAGAGACCAAGTGCCCAAAATGCAACCCAAAACCCACTTATTTATTGCCGGGTGCCAGGTGGGCGTGGCTCACTGGGTGGACGTGGCTATGGTGGTCCTGGCAGGTTGGGTGGGTGTGGACAAGGTGGGTGTGATCACCTTGATGTTGTTCGTGGGGAGGGATGCCTGTGGGGGCCGGGCAGGGTTGGGGGAGATCCAGGGGGTCTCTGGCAGGTGGGGCAGTGGGCAGGAGGCTCGTCCTGCTGGGTGAAGCAAGGCAAGGTGAAGCAGGGCGGGGGTGCCATTGTTACAGAGCAAGGTGAGGCCGGGGCGGCTGCTGCCTGACACCATTGGCCCCTGCGCACAGAGGCCAGTGAGCGCATGGGTGCTGGGATGCATCCGGCCATGTGGGACCTTGGCGAGTTAGCGGGTGGCTGGTTGAAGAGGGATGGTTGCCATCTTCGGGGCATGGCACGCGTGCCCACAGGGAGGGCTCTGAGTGCCGCCTCTGGCACGCGTGCCATAGGTTCGCCACCACTGATATAGTTATGATTGTTTCTTGGGACTTGGGAAAACTAAATTGTTTAATTCTTGTGTTTTAATTTTTAATCTTATTACTGTTTTGTAAGTTTAAGTATCAGAAAAATCAAACATGATTGGAAGAACATGTATGTATGTGTGAATGGATGGATAATGCCTTTTGCTGGATATCTGTGGACTCCTTGTCCAATATTTAAATGTAGGTAAATGATCTTATTGATAGATAATAAGAAAATCAGTGGTGAATCTTCGGAGAAATCAATCCAGGTAATCACTAGCATGATTTTCCATAATTTCTAGGGTGAAGTAGTGGCAAATGCTTATTGAATATTCAAGCACAGCAGAACAACTATATCCCTTAGCAACTCCCTAAGATTGCCATCTTCTGGTTTTGATGCTACTAACTGCTCCAAAACTGTCCTATACTCTGGGGGCAGATACATGTGTAAAAATTAATATCTAAAATATTGGGATGTCAAAACAGTCTTTCTTTAATGATTAAAATAAACATATTTTAGCCTCAGATATACTCTGTTGCTTTTCTCTAAACATTGACACGATGGGAGAAAAATGAAACTTAAAATTTTCCAGAAATTTAAAATCCAAGGATGTAAATATTTAATTATGTATACAAGAAGATGATCAGTTTTAAACAATTTTACTGGTATCCTGAGTAATATTATGGTATATTGTAATAAAATATTTCTGATACAAAAATAAGTCACAATTGACCAGAAACTTATTAAAGAATATATATTCCTTGATTCTCACGTCTTAAAGCATATACATTTTTAGAAGCTTACCTGCAAAACATAACAATATATATTCAGATGTAGACATGTGCAATCTAAATAACTTTGATTTAAAACAGTTTAGGTTTTTTTATTTTATTTTACTGAATTGTCTGGTCAAGTGCAGAGTGATCAAGCAATGTTTATTTGAGAACAGGAAAATAATTTATTTGGTTCTTTGGAAAGTTAGCTTAATAGTAGATTTATTTTGAAATGTAGTCTGCTAGTTCCTTTATATAAAATAATTATGAAAAAAAACTCCCATTACATTATAATTTTCACTAACAAATCATAATATTTTTCCTAATATTCATTTATAGGTCTCAAAATATGTTGTACAGTTAATAATTTACATTCAAATTTAGTATTACATTACAAGTTTCAGTCTATTCTCTCAGCTTAATTCAGAAACAACATAATATTTATTAGCTTTCTTGACCAGCATGCAATAAAGGTTCATTTGTTTTCTGAGGTTTCATCCTAGTTGATAATGTTGGCACAGGTCTCTTGCATATACCCTACATTTGCCAATTATTTCACTCTTATGAATTGTATTTCATTACTCAAACAAATTTTGCACATCCCCAGTGTTCAGTAAAAACTTTGATATTTGTCTGGTAAAAAGTTAATGTTTATTTATTTGAATATTACATCCCATAATATTTAGATACTGTTTAAGATATCTAGTAACGTATTATCATTTCCCACTCCCCAAAAGAAAAAATGCTTTATTACAAACTATGCAGGTACAGTTGGTAGAATAAAATCAACTTTCAAATTAAATTTACATTGCATATAAACCTAAATAAGATCTTAAAGAACTGATGAAAGGCCACCTACTATGCTAATCTAGCCTTTTAGGGAAGGGACAGTTTAGATATGGCCACTGAGGCAGCCTTTTCATTCCACCCCCCAATTAACCACATTTCTATAGTTGTTTGTGTGCAATTAGGATGAAAGATGTTTATTAGCAACTGGACTACCAAATGTTGGTTGAATAATTTAAGATAATTTGGAATTATCAATATCCTTTGCTGGGAGAACTATTTTAGAAAAGAATAGAGTTGTAAGTTGCTCTGCAAAGCTAATGCAAAGCAGATTCTTGCTCTGTAGCTTTTACAAATGTAAAACTAGAATGAGAAAGAGAGAATCAGAAAGTACTTGATACTACATGCATCAAATATTGATCAGAAGGCAAGAGATCAATTTGATGTGCTTTATTCATTTTATTAGAATTATCTGTAAATATTAGAAACTTCCCTCAAAATTTGGAAAATACTATGAATTGAACCTGAGATTTGTTGCATGCAATCATATATTCCTTCTCATGTAAATTAAATTATCAAAAAATAAACTTACATCTTTTTTTCAAAAATTAAATGATATGCTAACAACAAAGCAATCTAGTGACATTTCCCATTCTGCTGAATGGATGGGGATTACCAAATTCTTCTATGAGTGAAATTAAAGGGGGATACCTAAGCCTCCTTGGCATGGAGGCATTTTCTGTATTGGTGAAACACCTCTTTATATGCAGAAGATTGTAAAATAAATGCCTAACATTTCCATTAAAAAGAATAGGCAGACACTTGATAAGCAAGAATTGGGAAGCTGATATATTTTTGTTAACCATCAGGCAAACTATTTAAAATAATTCTTAAATATATGATTGTATTAATTATAATTGTATTTAGCTGCATTCTGGACTTGGACTCATACATCAAAGAAATTTATAAAAGCTTAATTTAAAAAACTATTTTCCTGTAAAATCTATTGTTTAGCATGCAATTGCATATCTTGCATTATGTTGATTTCTACTAAATTCATTAAAAAAAGGAAGAAATGGAAAAAACATTTGCAAGATTGCAACCTGTGAAATCTTTTGATGGAAAAAAATAGCATAAGGGAAAGTAATTTGTCAGATAGAAAGCTAAAGGGATAATTCTTCAGGTCATTGGCAGGACACTAACCTCTGAAGACTGTGAAGCCCAGTTCAGTCTCCAACAGTGACTTTTTCTAATAACGAATTAATTGTATGTGTGAACTCTGATCCAAGGCCAGGCGTGTGACCTCTTCACACTGATAAGTAGCTTCTTTTTGGCCCAGAACAATCCCCTTCCCTAAAAGGTTACATTGATAGCTAACATGTGGTGTTTTTGAGTCATAAAGCTCTTCATAAGATTCCAGGAAGTTAAAAATATAGAATCTCAAAATACACTAATCCATACAGCAGTACTTTCAACACAGAAAGTTTAATTCAGATAAGAAAATAATGCTGCATCATCTGTTAATTCTTCAGCACTAATGCCTTCTGAAAAGATTCTGCTATATGTTTCATCATATTAAGCAATAAAATGGAAGAGACTTTGTCCACTATAATTAAGAAATAGGTTCTTATAATCTATGTCTTTTAAAACATATTGGAATAGGGAAAAACATGTTTGCAGATTTTAAAAAGAATATTTTGGGTGAATATTAAAACAAACTAATTTATTATTATATTATATTGTATTATTTATTCTGCTGTTGAAATCTTAATTAGGGAATAAGGCCATCATTTAATGGCTAAAACATATGATGTGCATGCAGAAGATCTGTGATACCTGTAAAAAAGGATTTTGATGTAAAATATTATATACCTGCTGCTGAAGAAGTAAGAGGTAAGAGGTGAGAGAAGAGTAACCTCTATTCAGCAAGGGATCTGCTTTAATGTAAAGATTTTTCTATGTTCCATTGTGTTTTAAATATATATTGGTTGTATGGAAATATTTTCAATCTGTTTATTCATATATTGTGTTAGGATAGTTGGATTATGTCAGTTTCATGTTTACAGCATTTTAAACAAAGTGAAGTTAGGTTTTTTTTAAGCATTTATTTATTTCAAGTGGAAGTGTTGATTTCAATTGACTATCAAAAATATGCATATTATAAAATAAGTTGCAGAAACATAATTGTTTATGATAATAGAAATAGCTCTCACAGTTCTAGTTTAGGTGCATGCATCCACATCATTAAATTATTCTGATTGTAGAAATGCCTATAAATAGAAAAATCAATTCTTGTCTAATCTTATCCCAATGTTCTATTATTATATTTTATATAATTTTGTAATATTATATGTTATATAATTTCTATAGATCAGAGTTATACTTATTTAAATATGTAGCTATTTACTATAATTAAAACATCCTATCTGTTTACAATTGTACTGAGAACACTCGAGGAACTAGGGAATGTTCTATAGAGAAGGTGTAAAAATTATATGTAGACCCATGTATCCTAACCATACGTGTTCAATGGCCTCACTAATTGAGAAGAAACTGGTCTCAAAGTGCTTGACTTTTTAGAACAAACTGGTTACTTTAAATCTTGCAGTACAACAATCCTAATTCCCTTGGATTTTGGTATCTGTTTTACATAACCTTCCATTTCAGCTCCCCAAATAGAAAATGCTTCAATATTTAAATGCAACTAGAGAAACAACAGATTTTATTGAAGTATTCTGTTTGTTTGCTGTAGCTAATTATGTGGTTTTTTTTAAATTAAGAACTGCATAAGAATTTCATTTTAGATTTATTTTTTTAATGGCAACTCCTCTAAGATCAGGAAGATAGTATGTACATCAAGAAAAAACTTTTTAAAGGTTTTCACCATAGGCCAGGGGTGTCAAACTGCCGGCCCGTGGGCCAGTTGCATCATACGGAAGCCGCACCCACCCCAGCTCCGGCAATGCAAAAAAAGGCACGATACATTGCAATACATCACATGACATGGCGAGTTTGACACCCATGCCATAGGCCATATATGCTATGTGTAGAGGATAAACATCCAGTCATGAGTCCATGGTTAAAACTTGTGGGAGAATCTGACTTGGCAATGTAAAGCATATCAGATGGGAATGAAAGAAGGTTCTATATATCAAGCCAAATAATTGACCCATCTTATTATTATTTTTATTGAGAAATAGTAGTATTCAAGTACAGGCAGGATTTCGAAGAGGTAGAGGAACTAGAGATCAAATTGCCAACATACGCTGAATCATGGAGAAAGCTAGGGAGTTCCAGAAAAACATCTACTTCTGCTTCATTGATTATGCTAAAGCCTTTGATTGTGTGGATCACAACAAATTGTGGCAAGTTCTTAAAGCGATTGGAGTACCAGACCATCTTATTTGTCTCTTGACAAACCTACATGCGGGTCAAGAAGTAACAGTGAGAACTGGACACGGAACCACTGATTGGTTCAAAATTGGGAAAGGAGTCCGGCAAGGCTGTATTCTGTCGCCCTGCCTATTTAACTTATATGCAGAGCACATCATGAGAAAGGCAGGGCTAGATGAATCAAAAGTTGGAATTAAGATTGCTAGAAGAAATATTAACAAACTAAGATATGCAGACGATACCACTCTAATGGCAGAAAGTGATGTGGGTGAAGAAGGAGAGTGCAAAAGTTGTCTTGACACTCAACATTAAGAAAACCAAGATCATGGCATCCAGCCCTCTCAATTCCTGACAAATAGATGGGGAATAAATGGAGGTAGTGACAGATTTTATCTTCCTGGGCTCCAAGATCACCACAGATGGGGACTGCAGCCAAGAAATTAAAAGACCTTGCTCCTGGGGAGAAAAGCTATGGCAAATCTAGACAACATCCTAAAAAGCACAGAGAACAAAAGTACATATAGTCAAGGCCATGGTTTTCCCAGTTGCAATGTATGGCTGTGAAAGTTGGACCATAAGAAAGGCTGAGCACCAAAGAATTGAGGCCTTTGAACTATGGTGCTGGAGAATATTCCTGCGAGTCCCCTGGACTGCAAGGCAATCAAACCGGTCAGTCCTAGAGGAGATCAACCCTGACTGCCCTTTAGAAGGCCAGATCCTGAAGTTGAAACTCAAGTACTTTAGCCACCTAATGAGAAGGAAGGACTCACTGGAGAAGAGCCTAATGCTGGGAAAGATTGAGGGCAATAGAAGAATAGAAGAAGGGGACGACAGAGAATGAGGTGGCTGGATGGAGTCACTGAAGCAGTGGACGTGAGCTTAAATGGACTCCAGAAGATGGTAGTGGACAGAAAGGCCTGGAGGAACTTTGTCCATGGGGTCGCAATGGGTCGGACATGACTTCGCAACTAACAACAAATATTCAAGGATCCCATCATAAATATTTCCATGCCCTACATAAGTATGGTAGGGATTGAACTTGTGATATTTTGAATCAGTATGTGCTTTACCATGGAGCCACAACCCTTGCCTAAAATGCATGTAATAGTAATTAGTCTGAAGTTCTTCACTGTACAGAATATTCTCATTGGGCCTGACATTTTGTGGCTTCTTCTGATCTGTATTAACCAAGTTGTGTGACATTTCCTGGACTGACCACAGAGAATAACCATTTATTCCACCAGATATTGCAGTGCTGTTCTTTACACCATTTCAGAATAGCTATTATGAACCATTACTGGTGGGAAACTATGATTTCTTTTGAATTAAATACATACAAATTGAATAGTATCAAGTGTATTTTTATTGATTGAAAATGATTTTAATGATACACTTTAATGATACATGCAAGCTTTAAAGCTTAGTTTTAAATATCATTAATCATATATTTCTAAGATTTAGCATTTAAAAATCTATTAAATAATATGTGTAAAAGTATATACATCAATTGTTGTGAAATGTAAAGAAATATAGATTAAAATATTCATTACATAATGTTTTAAGTAAAAAACAGTTCAAAAGCTAATATACCACTTGCAGGCTTGCAACATCTATAAAATATAAACAACATTTCACAAAAAAATGTTATTCTATTTTATTTTCACGTGAACATGACTAAAATATTTTACACTGCTGCATGTTTTCAGTACAATTTTAATGGATGACCTATATAGATAATTTCTTTATGATGTCAATGATAGGTTTAGTCTCCAAACAAACTCTATAGGAAGGTTATGTTTTGGAATAACATCCTGTGTTTTTGTGCTGTTCAACTCTTTACTGATGGTCTGAGGTTGCATTGTATTAACTCTAGGTATTTTCCACCGTTAATTGATATCCCAGGTTTGTCCAGAGGAAAATCTACAGCTCCACACAACATGCTTGACAAGTTATTATATTTATTTTAGTCAAAGCTTGAGTGCACAGGATCCCTCATAGAGGTGGTCTATTATTGGAGTGCCATATGCTTTTTGTTTGGGAAGAAAGCAGTCACTGTGTCATACTGTTACAGAGAGTATTCTTTTTCAAGGATGTTGTTCCCCTGAGGACCATATCATGCCAGAGTTCCAGAGTCCAGTAAGACCTTTTGCAGTTCTTATTGTGTAAAAAAATCTGGGAGGGAGGAAAGAGTTAAACAATAACAACAAAAAAAGGTAATTCTAGAAGGTATAGTCGACCACATGTTGAAGAACATGAATATCAGAGAAGGAAAGGGTAAAACTAACATTTTCATTAAGAAAATGCAATAACCGTCAGAAAAGCAAGTTTCATGTTTTATCTGACATAGAGTGACTAACTACTTAGAAACTATTTAAATATAGTAAATATTGTGTTAAATCATGAAAAGGCATGTTATATTATCTTAGATATATAGGAAGAAAAATAGTAATAATTTATCTAATTTCAATATTTTGGATGATATCTGAAATTAAGGAGCCATACACCTTATGAGCCCTGTGGGATGAATTGGAACCAAATAACCAATGCATAATATATAAGCTTAGATAAATAGTGTTACCATTATAGATGAAGAAGTGGTGATTCCCAGATGTCAGGCTTGCAGTATTTATTATCCCCCAACCACATCCAGCATACCAGGTGCCATCAAAATACTTGGCAATTCTGCTGAGTTTTGCTGTGCCACGCAAATGAATGAACAAAAAGTAATTTGAAGATTAACCTATTAAATTATTACAGTCCAGATATACTGGAGATTAACTCTGAGTTTCTCCATTCCATGTTCTCCATTCCATGTTCCAATGGCTTAAAATTATTAGTCGTAATTGTGAAATTGTGTTCTTGAAGTTTTTCATTATCAGGATTTCAATGGAATACTACTAGTGTGAAAGAAAAAGCATTTCCTCTTGTTTGTTCAACAAAGACATAGAAATATTTTTTGCTAGCCAAACATGATCTTCTTTTTTAAAAAAATTTCCACAGGATATGGTTCCACAACATTGCATTCTCATCAATGAAGAATCAATGAACCTTTTGAATATCTATGCATCTCCTTCTTTACCTAACATCACTTTAGGACTCCCGGCAGTACAACCAACACTCACAGTAAGTGACTGGGTTAGGAGTACTTTTGCTGACTTTAATTAAGATACTCTCAAGGCGTTACTTCAAGGCAGAGTTAAAATAATACAGAATGATTTCAAATAAAAAAATATATATACTGTTGAAATAAAGAGTCTTTATTTTACATTTTCACTCAATAATTTTCTTGTTATTTCAACTAAAGAAACAAATTATCATAGATCTATTAATTTTCAACTTATGTATACCCAAAGGCAATTTAATTCTTTTGAACCCCACCTTTTGTATTTATCTTTTATCAACTTCTTTGTCTGACAATAAGTAAATTTGTGAAATTGATACAAATATGAAATGCTAAATTACAATAAGGGCTGAATATGCCTCTTTTACTTGCCATATCTCGATATTAAACATTAGCTTATGCTGTGGGAATAATAAAGTTTTTAAAACTGCTTTGTTCAGTTTTTAAATGTGTAATTTGGAAGTTTTCTTTTTTAATGTTGTCTTCATTTGCTCTGTAGGTGCCATCACCATTTGCAGAAAAACAAAAGAATGAGATGCAGTTAATCAAGCAAGGAGTGGCCATGTCTAGTCAGCCCAGGGGGACTATCAGTTCACTTTCAAGTCCTCAGTCCATTGTTCCAGAGGGAAAACCAAACTATAGCCATCAGGCTATCTTGCAACATTTGCTATTGAAGGAGAAAATGAGGCAGCAAAAACTTCTACCCACAGGTAATTATGAAAGAATTATTGGAAAAATGTTTGCTATTGAAGGAGAAAATGAGGCAGCAAAAACTTCTACCCACAGGTAATTATGAAAGAATTATTGGAAAAAGACTTTATTTGTAACCAAAAATTCAACTGTAGATAAAAATAGGAAGTTGCCTTGAACTAACCCAATATCTGCTATCTCAAGGATAAACAATCCTGAGTTAAGAGTTCACCTGCAAACCTTAAATTGCTTTTATGTTGCCCCTAAAACACACTCTGATCCAAATGGCCTAGTTTCTTCCCAAGTGTATATTTTTTCCCAGTTTTAGGCACAAAATAGAAGTAAATATATATATATCCCCAAGTCAAAGAACAGTCTCCAGATAATCTGGAACATATATTAATTGCCAGGATCAGTGGACTGGTTATTACAATCTTTTAGAAGAGATAGAAAGGATAGAAGTATGAAGTTTTTACATTTTATCCACCAGGATTCTGCTTTCATCAAACTCATTAACTGTTATATTCGGAATTGTTTAAAATATTAATGTAATCACTGTGTAAACATTTCTATCATTTCTAATTTATACTATATTAAATGTTACTTTTTTAAAAAAACAGAAATCTTAATACCGAATTCATAAATTGCTATTTTCTACTTTAGGCAAATTGGTTCTAGTTTGATTTAGACTGTCCAAATTATTGTATTGTCTTGTTGGTTTTATTCAGAAAATCAATTTAATTTGGACATCCAGATTTATGAACCATTTTATGCAAATTAATTTGAGCACTAAAAACAAGTGTGTATATGTACAGTCTCAATGATAAATCAAATTGCAGGTACTAAATTCTCTTCAGTTTGAAAAAACAATCACATTGGTGATTCAGATATCACACATGCCTAATTCTATATTCAATAAGCTCAATTTTATAAAAAATGGTAATGATAGTCTTACATTTCATTGGCTTTTTTTTATGAGAGTTATATTGTTGACCTGCAGGTACAGGGCCTCTTCATCCACAGTCACCATTGGCAACAAACGAAAGAATCTCACCTAGCCTAAGAGCTGCACATAAGTTACCTCGACACAGGCCACTGAACAGAACCCAGTCTGCTCCCCTCCCTCAAAGCACTTTGGCTCAACTTGTCATTCAACATCAGCATCAGCAGTTTCTGGAGAAGCAGAAACAGTATCAGCAGCAAATTCACATGAACAAAGTAAGATTTTATTTGATTGCAGTACATAACAGATATATAAATATGCATAATATACATATATTCAGGACAAAAAATAGCTAGGTATAAGTTCAGTTTACAGTAGGGGTGCTTTTACACAATTTTTTAAAAAAATATTGCCAAGTATTAGATTTTCTGTGAGTGTGATTTATACAACAGTATGGTGGCTTAATGAATAAAAATATTAACACATCTTTTCTGCAACCTCACTTTTCTGTCTGCAAGTGCTTTTGAAAGCAGAGCAGAACTTAATTAACCATAACTTTCTATTTCATCTAAACTAGAAAATTACAGTTATAAGTATTGGAACAAGTCAGGATTTCAAATCACATTAGTGGGAGAATTCTGCTTTATATTCATGCATGCAAGAAGGGAGAATGGGAATAGCAGCATGAAATCCAAGGCTAATTTATAGTTGATAATTGATAGTTCATACATAGTCTATATATTTTCTAAACAGGCAATTATGCATAATGTTACACAACAGAAACAGTTATTTTAATTTACAACAACATGGCACAAAACTAAAATCTGGAAATTAGTAAGTATTCCCATTCTAAAATGTAGGAACTTATTGGCACTGCATTTTAGGCCTATACAATTTTTGTTACAATTAAAAAGAATCTAAGTACTTAATGATCAGAATATAATTATTCATATCATCATTTATCTGTTGTATGATCATTTTATGTTATATTCTTAGAATGATAGAATATTTTTAATGTATTTTATACATCTACTTCATATGTTTATTCTCGTAGGAATTTATTCTAGAACTCCTGAGTACAATTTTTTTTCTCTAATTGTGATAGTAGATATAATCATATGTCAAAAATAATTTCAAAATATGTTACATCCATCTCATTAGGTATTTTTTCCCCCTTGAGCTGCAGAATCTTTAGGTTGCCTTCCATTCCTATTCCATGTTCTTAAAATTCCCAATCAAATTAGAAACACAGCCTGAAGTTTAACTATATAGTTTGTGCAGTGGTTTGATTATTAAATCTCATTTTAATTAGGAAAAATGAAGACTAGAGAACTTCAAAGTTTAGATCTGATCCTGCATGTTAACCCTTCTCAACTTGAGTGTTTTGATTATTCAATTTCAACTCTACTGGGCTTTTCATTTACTATGTGTTCCATATGTTTAATCAAGATGGCATCTTGAAGCTCCCAGGTTTTCAATATATTTTGCCATCATGCAGTTGCTTGAAAAAAAGCAATATTTTATTACTGTTTGAAAGACAGAATCTCTCTGATATTTATCTCCAGGAATACAGCATAATGATTAGCTGCATTTCATGTTTTTTTTCCATAAAAACTATTGTTTTCTTATGTTTTCAGGCATGTTATTATTTCTGTTATATTACTCCCTTAAGATCATTATCATCATCATCCAAACCATTGTACGATAAAAACTTCTTCACTGAAGGTTTTGGCCTGCAATGTAACTAATCATGTTAGTCTACTGAAAGGTAATAGATACCTAACAGTTTCCTCATCAAGAGCTGAAAGAGAGTGACTGACCCAAACTTATATAGATTGCTTCTATACCTAAGTAAAGACTAGAATATGAATCTTCCCAGTCCTAATCCAGTACTTTAACCACTATATCACATAGGCACTCATAGCCATATACAGCCATCTAGAAATGCAACATAGTCTGCCAAATACAAAATAATATCTCCTGATTTTTATAATTCTAAACAGGAAGCCAAGGTAGTTGGTCTGCCATGTTTAGATGCCGTACAATTCATAGTCAATAAGCTACAATTATATCACAATTGAAAGTATAGTATATTGAAAAACATATTTTTAGTGCTATAGGAACCTCAGTGGGAAAGAAATGCATATAAAAGATTGGCATGTCTCGCCTGCCATTTATCATTAGGTTGAGACTTAATGGAGGTAATAGAAGAACTGGGGGGAAAATCCTAGTCAGAACAGCTCCCCCATGATGTTATATGGAGTATGCAACAAAAATTCATTTTATTGTATGTCAATTAGTGTATATTCAAAGTGACAATAAAATTATTATTCTATTCTATATGGAGTTGTGATTAAGGGATTTAGCCAGTTTAGAACTTTTTCAGAACCTCTTAAAACAAGTGTGGAATGTCACCAACAAAACAAGCAGTGGCTGTGTTCTAATAATGAAGCTTACAATAATAATAATGATAATGGAGTTGGAAGGGACCTTGGAGGTCTTCTAGTCCAACCCTCTGCTCATGCAAAAAAAAAAACATGTACCATTTCAGACAAATGGTTGTCCAGTCTCTTCTTAAAAACTTCCAGCCTTGGAGCATTCACAATTTCTAGAGGCAGAATGTTCCACTGATTAATTATTCTAACTGTCAGGAAATATTTCCTTAGTTCTAGGTTGCTTCTCTCTTTGATTAATGTCCATCCATTGCTTCTTATCCTATCTTCAGGTGCTTTGGAGAATAGCCTGACTCTCTCTTCTTTGTGGCAACCCCTGAGATATTGGAACATTGCTATCATGACACTCCTAATTGTTCTCTTCATTAAACTAAACATACTTTAAGGACCTGCCTCAACTAGGTCTCCCAAGAAAGCAGAACTATTGAAACAGGCATTGTCTCAAAAGGAACTTTTTATTGAGAGTTAGTGATAGCAAGGAAGCAAAGCGAGGTCTAATGAAATAGTCCCCGCAAGCAGTATATCAAAAGCAGTATTTGTTACTTCTCCCCCCAGGGTCCCACTGTCCATTTGAATCTCGGCCAATCCACAGGTGGTATATTGTCTTGGTAATTGGCTCCTTTGGCGCACTCGTCAAGGTCTCTTTCGGTTTCGTTTCCTTCTGGCTCCAAGCACAAACCATCTTCCAGATAAGGGTGATGGTATTCGACTGCATTCCTTATCCTGGGGGAAGGGCAGTGTGGCATGGGCAAAGCAAAGCATATTGTATATCCCTGCAATGGGAGGCCCCAAAACATGGTTATAGAAGCATGTATAGGTTAGTTAGGATAGTAATATATTTCTTTGGGGATCTGACCTATACCCAATTCCAGCAACCATTCTTTATATGTTTTAGCTTCTAGTCCTTTAATCATCTTTCTTGCTCTTCTTTATACTCTTTCTAGAGTCTGAACATCTTTTTTACATCATGGTGATCAAAACTGGATTCAATATTCCAACTGTGGCCTTACCAAGGTGTTATAAAGTGGTATTAACACTTCACATGATCTTGATTCTATCCCTTTGTTAATGCAGCCCAATGTTCAAATTTGTCAAGATCCTTCTGTATCTTAAGCCTATCTTTTGGAATGTTGGCTATTCCTGCCAGCTTGGTGTCGTCTGCAGATTTGATGAGTTCCCTATCTATCCCCTCATCCAAACAATTGAAGATGTTGAAGAGCATTGGGCCCAGAACAGAGCCTGGGGCACACCACTACACACTTCCCTCCACGGAGATGCAGTTCCATTGAGGACCACACGCTGAGTATGGCTGGTCAGCCAGCTACAAATCCATTTGGTGGTGATGCTGTCTAACCCACATTTTTCTACCTTATCAAGTTGTAGGTTGTGGTCTACTTTACCAAATACCTTACTGAAGTCCAAGTAAATTATATCCACAGCATTCCTCTGGTCCACTAATTTTGTCACCTGGTCAAAGAATGCAATACGATTTGCCTGGCATGATCTGTTTTTGACAAACCCATGTTGGCTTTTGGTAATGACTTTTTTTGCCTCTAGGTCAGTGTTTCTCAACCTTGACAATTTTAAGGCATGTGGACTTCAACTCCCAGAATTCCACAGCCAGCAATGCTGGCTGTGGAATTCTGGGAGTTGAAGTCCACATGCCTTAAAATTGTCAAGGTTGAAAAACACTGCTCTAGGTGTTCGTTGATTCATTGCTTGATTATGTTTTCCCGAATCTTCCCAGGTATTGAGGTCAAGCTGATAGGTTTCCTGGATCCGCTTCCCCCCTTTTTTTTTTTGAAGATGGGAACTACATCAGCTCTTTTCCAGTCCTTTTCTATTAATAAAAATTGGGAAAACTATGTTACTATTGATTTCCCCCCTGTAAGAAAATATTTATATTTTTAATGTAAAAATAGTACTGGAGTCAATTATATTTCTTTATAATCAGTTCCAGATATAAACCAACACAGTGATTAGAGTGACAACTATAAAAACTAACAGAGGCCCAAAATACAGATTTCTCTGGAATAGTTCTACTATAAAAAGAAAAAAAACAAGTAAATTCCAGCAACAATTTAGCAATATTTCAGTTTAGTGAGAAAGAAAAAAAATCTCAGATAGTTTCTTCTGTCATTTGTCAGAGAACCAGGTTTTGATGTAGGAAACAATATCCCTTCTCATTGGAGGTTTATACCTATGGGATGCAATACAGCGACCTTCTCAAAACATTTCAGCTGAGATGCAAATTTTGACATCTCCTCTAGAAGTCAGCAGAGATCATGCCCTGACTTTCTGAAAAATGGATGTGTGGAAACCTGAACTCGGCTTCCTATTTAAAGATACTTTGCTGTTGCCAGATTTAATATAATTCTATCAAGATGACAGCTTGTTTCTCTGTAGAGTCCTTTGATCATAATTTTTAGAACTCCATTCTGCTCAATAAAAGGAACAGAATTCTGGCAGTTCCAGTTAAACAAATTGTCATAGATATCAAAAGACTGACACTGCAGCAGAGCTTTTACTGTTTCAAGTATCTCTGATGTAAAAGATGTCATTCCTATTCACACCATGTACACCAGAGTATTTTCAGTCATCGACCAGGTCCCATATTTGCTTCCTTCAGGAAGCAACTATTTCCCCCAAATAAACTTTCAAGCAGTCATTACTATAGTGCTTTACTACTTTAGTACCTAGCATTGGGAGGCATACGTTACGCCGCTTCTGCGCGAGCTGCATTGGCTGCCGGTGGCCTTCCGGGTGCGCTTCAAGGTGTTGGTTATTATCTTTAAAGCGCTCCATGGCACCGGACCTGGTTA